AAATAATAATTCATCATTATTATCAGATTTTTTTCTTTGTGATGTTTTTTCTGAAATTTCAGAATATTCAACAACTTGATAACGATCTCGTACTTTACATATAACACCAACAGCTTCATTTGCAAATGCTTTTTTAACTACCTAAGAAAGAAAGAAATAATATTTCTATTAAAAGTAAATAAGCTTACTTTTGCTGCACAATCAGCATTTTTTTCTATACAAAATCCAATAAAAACTGGATCACCTAGACGAACAAGAATATTATCTACACAATAAACATGAATATATTTAATATGACGTTTTTCCATTTCATTTAATATTTTATTCGTTGTTAATGCACGATATAAACCACCATTGCCATCAGCTGCTTTTGTTAATTTATATTTATCATCAAGTAAAATTTTTCCTTGAAAATCTAATGCAGGTAATAAATGTTGTTCAAAAAGAATTATATTATTTGGATTTAAACCAAAATAATTATTTGTATGTAAATATTTTTCAGTTTGTTCTTGAGTATGTTCACTTGTCATAATAAACCTAAATAATTATTAGATGATATGAGATAAATAGAATAAAAATTTAGTTTTTAATTTAACCATGGAATAATTGATGTAGTTGTTTGAAATTCTTCATTAGCTAATTGTTCTAATCGACGAATACGTTCAGCTTGAATTTGATACAATGTTTTCTTAGATGGTAAACCAACATCATACATTCCTTTTGGATAATCAACACCTATAAAAAGAATTCAAATCATAAATTTGAGAGTAAATAAGATATTTACCAAGACGAGTTCCTTGTCCACCAGCGAGTAGTAATACACATACGGAACCTTCTGCAATAGCTTTTAAACCTAAGAAAAAACAAGATCATAAGATTTTTTTAATATACAAATATACGAACCTCGTTGACGATACTTTTCCAATTGTTCTTTAGTTGTTTCATTAATAGATCCAGTAACAGTGTCAGGAACTGGTTCCATAATATCATCAATACATTCTTGTTTTATCTCTTTATTTGAATTGGTTGTATCTGATAATAATTCTTGTTTAATACTATTATAAGCTTTTGTTACACGATCAAAATCAATTTCATTTATATCATGTAACAATGTTTGTTGTTGTTCATTATTAAGTTCAGACCAATAGGCAAGTAAATGAGTTTGATTAGCTTTTGTTAAACGTTCTTTTATAGTTAAATCAACCTCCATCTTTGAATAAAAAGAAGTTTATATTCAACATACACACAAGCTTGAGAGAGAGAGAGAGAGAAAGAGAGAGAGAGAATGTCATACGAATGTGAACCTAACTTTAGTTTGTTCTGACTGTGATAAAAAAAGAGATAAAAACTTGAGTAGATAACGTCATTCTTTCTTTTTTTAGACTCTGACTTATATCTGTAGCGATAAGCACAATGAACTTTAAAAAAACTAATAAAGTTTTTATACCGATTGACCTAGAAAACCAAACTTGATTTCTAGGTAAAAACGCTCATTTTTTTGTTACTTGCTGTTTGCTCATCCTACCAATAGAGTTATTTCAGATAAACAGATAGATTATTTAACTACTTTGCGTTTTATATTGATTGAAAATTCAGAAACGTTTTCTCTTTTTTTCTTTCCCGTAGTAAACTTCATATAAAACAATTGTTATAGATGACGCTACTCATTCGATTTAAATGTCATGTTGTTATTTGCTACGTTTCCTTTTTTTTTGACTTGATGTAACTTGCTGGTTATCTGTTACCTTCACCTTTAAAATCTCAATATATTTTTACTAAATCATCTAGATAGATAAGACGTGATATTCAACTCTTCAATATATAAATATTTCTACATATAATTCAAAGTAGAAATGTTGTGTTTATGTACTCTTTTAATTTTAACGCTTTTATTTTAAGAATCAAGAAGAAAACCACATAAATCTATATTGTCAATATTTATTATCACCAACATCCCTAATCAAACAATGATGGTGGTATAATATTCTATATAGTGCCATCGAATTATTAGGACCCGAAACTGGCTGCCTATTTTTATTAGGAAAACTGCCCCTAATAACGATCCATGGAATTCATTATCGTAGATCCCTGATTTCTTCGTCACTACATTTCAAAGGGAGGCAGTTGTTACACCATTCGAAAGAGGAGACTCATGATTATGGATATGTAAGAATAATTACAACTGAATATACTATAGCAGAGAACCGAATCAAATAATACATTTAGTTTTTTCCCTGCTATGATTAGCGACATTAATTCTACTCATTGGCATTTCTAAGAACAAAGACCTGCACTAGCTGATACAGGAATTAAACAAACTAGTGAAAAATATTCAATTCGCTATTCTATCGTAATATATCACATAATCAAATATATATACAAATGATGCTTGAGATTTTATTCGTGAATATTATCCATCACAATGTGAAATCTTGGCATCGACTTTATTTTGTAGATCATACACCAAGCTGTTTGACTTTGTTGAATTTTTGACAGGTGATGCCACCGTTCTCACGGAATTTACCTGTAAGAATGAATCAAGACGTTTAAGGACTGTTATACAACAAGCAGCTTATTATTTATATATGGAAGAAAATACAAACATTAGAGGATGTTAATATATTATAGAGATCGTAGAGATCCACTAAATGACAATATTTTTTTTGCATATGAAGCTTAACAACTTCGTTACATCAGAAATCGAATGGAATATTTTGATTTTAAACTTACTAATTTTTATTGATACTCTGTAATTTCGTATGAAATTTTTGTAATACTACAAACGATTTGAAGGTGAAGATGTCGGTGTGATCTTTGTTTTTATTTATTTCGAACGGTGGGCGTAGGCAAATGTTACAAAAAACATTCACGCCCAAACCCATCTTCTTCTTAAGAAATCTTTTATGGAATTTCTGGTTATTTGAAAAATTTTATGATTAATGTATATTGAAAAATACAACGGATTACAAAAGAAAAAAGAAAAAGTATTGAAACTGTTAGATAGATAGATTAGTCTGATATTTACGATACTCTGAGAACGATTTCACTTATTGCAAATTCAAAGTTGGTATTATATTGATGGCCAACTAGAATTGTCAGTTTATCAATATTGGCCCAATTTAATATAATTAATTGTAATTCATCATGTAATCTGACCATTCGAGTGAAACATGTCTTTTGATTTCTTATACCGCTTATACGCGTGTCTTGAGAATTGTGGTCTGTAATTGAGAGAGCCTCGATTGATTCTATATTGAAAGTCTGATTATTGTTTATAGCAGAAATTGATATTTCTTTTGCCTCAAATATGGAACAGTTGTTAACCTGATAAGAAGCTTGTTGATAACTAAGTTGTCGATCTGAATACAGCACACACTGTTGACCGAGTTTGAAAGCATTCTTACATCTTTGGCCTTCTCTATGTAACATAGAAATGAAGTTGCAGTTGGACCAGAGAAAATCACCGTAAGTATTTTGTTTTGATTGACAGGGATGATATCCAGATATAGGAACGTCGTCAAATCGAATAATATTTTTGGTTTTCTCTACAAGAAAAAGTAATAGAATTGTTATCAAAGACCTGTTCACTATGTAGTCATTTTATCTAATCCACTGCCTACCTTCTGCTTCTCTTGATTGTTTATCTAACTGCCCAATTAAAGTTTTCTGTTGTTGATCGATATTATTCAACAATTCTGTTTGACGTTTAAGATCATTCTCTAACGATGTTATTTTTAATTCAAATAGATTATTTTGATTTTTCATTTGGTTTCTTAGACATTCTATTGCATTATGTGTATCTCGTCGACGATATGTTGCTTGACAATTAATACACAAAATCTCCAAGTACTCACACTGTAATTCATGTTGATCAACATTTTGTTTTAATATTGATTTCAAGCAGCCTTGACACTTCCTCATTTCATAAAGACACGTTTGTTCATGTTTTTCTAATGCTTCATACGGGATGATCTCAATACATCCATTTGTTGTATTCTTACACGTAGCTTTTAATTGTGATAATAGTTGTGTAAGAAGATGTGGTACACGAGCTCGTTGTTGATACTCACAGGTATTAGGACAACGTTGTTGATGTTGAAACCATTCATTGATACATGTTTCGCAAAAGCTATGTTCACAAGTTCCACATGTAACAGGATGCCATAATACTTCATGGCAGATAGAACAAAACAGATGTTCGAGAGTAGAAGCCTGATTGTTAACAATACGATCAGTGGATAAACCCATATTTAATTTAAAGAATGTGAAACAATCTTGAGCTATCTCGATTGAGTTATGTTTTTCTGTTGATGTTATTCTAGAAGGATTTTTTAGGTCCAAAAAGAAGAACTGAAAGAAAAATGTTTACTTCAAAATAGAATATAAAAATGGTGTATGTATGAAACTGTAGTACAGAATAGAGCGAACGATGGTATTTTCTCTTTTCCTTTCTTTATAAAAGAGTGACAATGTGAAGAGAAGAAAAAAAAATTGATACACGATCTACTGCCGTCTTTTATCAAATAACAGAATGGATGTTATGATACGTGCTGTCAACACTGTCGTGTTAGGGTGTGTGTATATAAACATGCCCAGGTAGAGCAGATCGGAGTCTGTAAACGATGGTTGAAGGTCGTATATGATTGTATTATTTTACTATATCGTAAAGATATAGCACTTTTTACCGCATGTTTTACTACTTCTACCTCCAACGTGTGGTACAAATATCTTCGATTAGGTGCTGTAGAATAATAAAATAAAGTAAAGTACTAAAAATTCAATAAAAATCAGTTAAAAGAATTTATTCATATACTGTTCGCTAAAAATATTCATTTAGATCCCCGAAAATAAATAGAAAAAAATATACTCATTTATTGTTTCTAAAGAATTCAATAATAAATTAGCTACTTACGAATTAGTTAGAAATTATATGGCTCGCCAGGTCATGATAATCTGGAGACCGATAAACGGCTGTCAACTCGCTCGAAACCGATACTATTCGTTTACTTACATAAAGTCACATGATACGGCATTTTTTGACAGTTTGTCACTATCTTTTTCATATAGATAAATAATGGCAAAGTACAAGTTTCAATAGGTTGCAAAATACGTTTTTTCATGGAGACTAACTCTATGCTCATTCTCAAAGACGATGGTTCGTTTTTCTAGATTATCAATTCTTCGAAATTTGAAGCTTTGTATCGCATTTCGCAATTGAGTGAAACTCAAATGTTATCTAGTTATTATTTTTCATCGCATTTTATAATATTAGCTCATGCAAATGATGGACCATGAAAATGTTAGCAGTAAAAACTAAAAGAAACAGATATATTCTGAGTAAAATAAAGTTGTCATTAGCCAACTGATAAGTTTCAAATATAGACTATTTTATAAGGTTTACAATGTAGATAAAATATTGACCATTCAAAATTTGATTAGAATTTATTTTTCATGATGATTGAATGAATTTTTTATCTCTGATATTTCTTCTTTGAATTATATATCTCCCAAACATACAAACTTTAAAAAAACATAATCATTCAGTTAGATTTTGTTTGTTTTTTTTAAACAGACGTTGAAATTATTTTCTTTGTAGTTTTATTAAATGCCATCCATACATCTGCTGTTTGTAATGTAATCACAACAATATTTTTAAAAACAAGAAAATAACTTGTATAATCATGTTTTCGAACACCAAAGATTGCATACAAACGAATAATTAAATATGGAATATCAGTAATTATCATACTTAATAACGAATATGTAATTATTGTTGCTAAACGATGATAATTTTTATTTATGAGAAATTTTTTTATTGTTGATATTTGAATAATAAATTGAAAACAACTAATTGACCATATAGTTAAAGTAATATATACAAAACGATAATCCGAATATAATTTTGGATGATTAAGAAGATCAATAAAATCAAGAATATCAAGTGCAGTTGTCCAAGTTCTAATAACGATATCTAATCGATGATCTTTTGTTTCACATAAACCTTTTAATATAACAATAATAAAAATATATGCTTGAGTTTGAATTTCTGACCATAATGATTTATTAGATAAATAAAAATTATCTTCAGATGGATCAGATTCATAAGAAGTAATAGAAGAAATTTCTACATTTGTCTGATGATCTTTGTGAGCAGTTAAATTATTTATTTTATATAATTCAAGTATCCAAATTGATGAAATAATAAAAATTGAATAGGTTAATAGTAAAAAAAATGAATATTGAAAACGAAATTTTAATAAACTAAATATGAGTATTTCCAAAAGAACAAGACCAATACCAATAATTGGAATAAAAAAAAGATAATGTGCAAATTTAGTTGATACAAGAAGAAATATTGATATAATTAAATGTGTTAAACAAATCAATCGAGCTGCAAACCAGCGAATTACAATCGCTTTCTTCTTTTTACTTTCGTTCATTCTCAGACTATATGAATATAGTATCACGACGACGATTGAAAACAAAAAGAATAGTGATCGATATCATTTTCTCTTCTGATCACAAAAGGTCAAACTTATACAGAACAGTTAAAAAGAGAGAAAAAAGATAGTATAACTAATGCTTAATTTTAAACAGACATCATCAATATTGAATTAATTGTGGTGAAAAAATTTTCATCGATTGTATATTGAGAAGAATTGATTTAGTTTCCTTTGTATTCTAATCAAATTCGAAGATGTTATGACTTGCATACTTGATCAAGTCATATATAGTCTAGATCTTATGAACTATTTAGATAAAGCTATTTATAACATTCTTAATAATCAAGAAATTTAAATATATATATTCCCCTATGAATGATCTAACGCCCTCTTTCGGTATTGGTTATAATTCGTTATTATGTGTTGTTCTTTTTTTTTTGTTTTATTTATTTATTACTTCTGTCAAGAATTCGTTTGAAAGTGTATCGTTT